TTTGCCCCCCCCCCCCCGTCTCATCAACAGTCCGGTGAGCATCAACTTTGACCCCCACAAGGCCGGGCATTATAAAAAAAAATGATTTGCCTGGACAGCGACAGGCCGAGGCAATCGGCCGGAGGGAGATGAGAGCGCGCAGACTGCACCAAGAGAGATGAGGAATCAGAGAGGGCCTTTCATGTAAGACAGGAGGAAAGAGAGGATGTTTTTGTGGCTGACGTATGAACAGAGAATGGGGGGGAGCGGGAGAGAAAGGGACGGCTGTGCAGCCTCTCTGGCAGCTGTGTATTGGACTGAACGCAGTCTTTAATCCTCCCCATAGCTCTGGGTCGCTGTCATTTCAAGTGCAGCTGGACTAAACACACAATAATGGCTCAGCTACTGCAGAGGGCTGGACGGCCTTTGTTTGGGTGAACATGTGCATGCGAGTGTTGGAGAGAAAGTGACTGCTCTCTCCTGCAGTGGGAATCCAGGCTCTCGGTTGATTGTATGGACTCTGGCTGCCGTCCATTATTAGCAGGTCACACTGGCTGCAGCTCCTCGTTGCCGGTCCTGTGCTTCTTTCATGCAAACAAAGAAGCTCTGGCATTATTATCGCTTATTTTCAGCGTGGAATTCTGCAGATAAGTTCATATTGAGTGCCTCCCTCACATGCCTCAGAGCCATGGCTATTGTAGTTCTGGAGGTTTGCCCTTTTGGCGCTGGAACTGGTCACCATGGAGTTTGGTCCTCTGTCTCTGGTTGAGTCATTTCCAGCAGTGGCATGGCTTAGACCTTCCTTGTCAAAATACACAACAATGTGGATGAATCTCGATACACAAACAATTTGCAGAGTTTCAATACCCTGTTTCGTCAAAAAAATAAATTAAATACACAGGGTGACGAGAGAGCTCAATCCGCTGTGGGTGTGGGAGTGCACATTTTTCCTTCAGCAATAAAATAAATATGATTATATTGGACAACTGGGGCAGTTATCTGACCTACCACTCCAGGTTTGGCTAACCTCCCCGGTCAATACCAAATCATCTCTCATGATATTAAAGGATTGAACAGAAGAATCCAACCTCCCAGGCAGAAATCGGCTCCGGAGCTCGTGCGGACTGACACCAGTGGGAGTACAATCTGAGGAATCCCATTATGGTGTGTTTATTATATGTGTGTGTGTGTGTGTGGGTGTGTTTGTGTAGCTGTGTGGCCCAGGAGCTCATGAAGAGCTGATCCGCAGCAAACTTATTAACCTCATAAAAGTCTTATATATGTTGATGTTGGAGAAATGTGGCGGGATACAAACACTGGGTCAGCGCCAAACTCGAGGCTGTTCGAGCGTTGATACATTCCCTTTATACACATGCAGCGACACATGCACACATAACAGAGCACACAAATGAAAACCATAAATCTTACTGTGTAAAAAAAAAATAAAAAAATTGGCTGATCCCAATTAAAAAAGCTTTCCTTTCGCTGAATAAGTGTTAACTGTTACCAACACCGTGGTACTCAAGACTGCGCTCTGCTCTGTGTATTTATGATTTGAGACCAGACCGGCCCAATGTTTGGTGGCTGTAATGTGGTGAATTACCTTCATGTGGGAGACCCTGTCTGACCCCCATTATACAGTCAGGGACACATTTAATTAGCGGCAACTCACGTGAAACGACAAAATGTATTAATATTAATGGAGGTTTAATTGGGGTCGTTTTGGTCCCCCGTTGAGGCTTTCAACCTCTAAAATGGCTGACGTGTGATAGTGTGAGGAGAGGGAGCCCACAGCCCGGGTTCGCCATTTCGTATGTGACCCCGGAGAAGATGACAACCATCTCCCATAATTCATCTGAAGATGTCACCTCTCTGACAGATGAGCAGGCCCTGTGGGCACAGTGTGTGCGTGTGTGAGGATAGGTTTAGCTATACTTGCAAGGACTGTCTAGCGAGGGCGTTTTGGCCTGTCCTCAGTCCTGCAGCTGATTTTTGTGTTACGTTGTGTCTGTGTGTGTGTCTGTGTTTGTGTGCGTGCACCTATGCGTGAAGTGTCGTGTGCACTTCATAGTGAAGGTCAAATCCAGCAGGATAATTAATGTCGTTCCTTTTTATATAATGTCAAATCAAACCCTGGAACTACTCTCTCTGGAGGATCAGCTGTCCAATTTAATTTAGGCTGCAGAGCGAGTAAATGAAAAAAAGCAAGACCCACGTCTCCACACCCTGGGACAGAGTCTCCTGTTCATCTTCTTTTATCAAGACCACACAACAGGTGACACTTTTTTTTTTAACCAACCTGCCCCAAAGGAAAGAAGATACCGCCTATCACACCACCTCAGGTAAGGCTTTGCAAAATGGACCCCAGGAATCCCAGGTGCCTTTTGAAAATTTTCATTGCCACATAACAAATACTGTTGACTAAAGGGACAGCTTTGGCTTATTCTAATTACAGGATTTATTTCCCATGGCTATCACACCATGCATACAGCAATGTTCATTTCCATTTTGTCAAATTGATATGTGCTGTTTTCTCAGGTCCCATATATATATATAATATATATATATATATAATATATATATATATTATATATATATATAATATATATATATATATAATATATATATA